AAGCACATTCCATTGAAAATTACACCCAGATTGCCATTGTCCTTGGAATTCATGAAATTGGTTTCTTTCTAGTTTCTAAGTGCTTCCTTAGCTGTATTTCCCATCGTAACATGATCGAATCTTCATCGCAGACAAAGTCGATCGCCCTGTTAGCACGAGTATTTACTTCTTGTTACCGTCAGGGAATGCGTCTCACCTTCATCGTATACCCTGTGCCGAGACCTGGCATTTTTATTTGGGGAACCTCTGACGGGAATGGCCTACAATTGAACTTGTTCAAGCCATAACAGTTCCTTTTTAATGGCCTACAATGAATATAAATTATATACTCATTGTTGTTCTGAAGCATACTTGAAACAGGTCCTGGAGCTGGATGAGAAAGATGGGAATGTAAAATTAACATGTTTGGGGACTGATTTACTGAATGGTCAGAAGGTGCAGTATACAGTGCCTCCAAATGTTTGGCTGGGTGCATTTCCGACAAAGGATTTCCACATTTCGACTGACGGGGTGGTGACGAAAAAATGAACCGAGGGATGCCGAGAGTCATTACTCGCTCGTAGGATGCACCTGCGCACCTGCGTTCGGGGCTTTAGGATGTTCTGTACCCAGTACCAACTTTCAGATTTATGATTCCTGTATTGCTACTACTTTTGAAGATTATGAACTTTTATGGTCTTCATATATGGTTTTTGTTATTTTTTCCTTATCCATCGTGTCCAGATCATGTCAAAGATGTACCATCGGATGCACTCAGCTATGTATGTTGTTTTACAAGCGGGAAAACCGATGTGAGAAAGGCTCTTGCAAATGGAAATACCCACCAAGTCATATGACAAACCAACATGGAAAACATGTAATAAATCATAAAATGAATTTAGAACCTTATGGATGAAGCTCACAATACTCTAAAGATCAAGATCTTTCACAAACCTCGAATTTGCTCTACGCCATCTTTCATGAAAGATGTGAAGCTCATTTTAAAGCTTAAAGATTTTTATAGCTTATTCTTATCTTCTTTGACCCGAATCTCTCAGAAAAATACAAAGTTTGCATCTTTAAGCTATAGAGTTATAGATGAGAAGGAGAAAGATGAGTGTGGTGAAAAAGATTTAACTTTCATCCCTTAATTCTTTATAATATAATTGGGTCAGCATGGAAAGTACTTGGATCAAATCACCATTGGTTCAACTTTGATTATAACCCTAAATCTTAAATTTTCTTTATGATCCTTATTCAATAAAAAAAAATTAAAAAGGCCCACACCTTATAACCCTGGTTTGATCAAGAACCCATGAAACAGCCCACAAACGCAGAAACCACTACAGTTTCACATTATGTTCTGATTTTTCTCACTTCATCTCACCCACGTGCTATATAAGTCTCTTTCACTCCCCTGTTCCACTCACTTCACCATATAAACAAAAGCTAACGCAGAAGATTTCAAAGCATCTAGAGAAAAGAACAGAGCTTTCGATGTTTGGTTCCTTGCAATGGCAATATCAGGCTCAGACACTCCAGACCCTCCGAGCAAAGTGACTGCCCCGACCGAAACCCACTGCGTTAAATGCGAGTGTTGCGGTTTCACGGAGGAATGCACCGTTGCTTACGTCACGCGTGTCCGGAACCGTTACCAGGGCCGTTGGATTTGCGGTCTATGCATCGAGGCGGTCAAAGACGAGGCTCTGAGATCGGCGACGCTTATCTCCGCCGAGGAAGCGTTGGAACGACACATCCGTTTCTGCGAGAAGTTTAGGGCGTGGAGTCCTTCGGATAAGACGGAGCACCCCATTTTCGCCATGGGAAGGATTCTCCGTCGATGCCTGGATTCGCCCAGACCTCTTAGGAGTAAATCGAGCAGCGTGTTGCCTGGACTTGAAGGAGTTAAGCGCCCTCCTCATCTGCTTCGATCTGAAAGCTGTTTCTCACCTCTTTCTATCTGAATTACATTCTTCTCAAATCCAAGTTCAAAAGGTAGTTTGATTTGGTTTCAAAGTTTCTTATATTTAGCCTTCGTTCTTGTAATCCATTGACGAGCATATGACTAATGAAAGGTGGTTTGGTTTGGTTTTCTCTTGATTTTGCATATATGGTAGTGTTGTATGAAAATGGTAATGTTTGTGCTGGCTTTTTGAACCAAATATCAGCTTGGCCAGCTATGAAAAATGGCTTATACGGTAAGCGATTTAAGAACTTGTGACATAAAAGGGAAGAAGATGACAGACAATGAAATTGCAGGAAATTTCCTGGAAACAAAAGTGTGGCAGAATAACATTATTTTCTTAAAACTTGTGTTCTGTGATCTCATTTCATGCAATAACCCGAGTCATAGTGCAAATGTGGTGTGCATATAATATCTTGACCTTTCCTTTTCTTCTCTCTCTCTCTCTTTTATATTTTATTTTGCAACAGTAGGATCCATATTTGGGCCTGATATTTTTCAAAAATACGTTTTCCCTACGACCAATCAAATAAGGTGTAGTACAAGAGTATTAGGCCAGGTTACCTTACCTCTTTAAGATTCCACTAGTCACTTCTGTTTGATATTGATTCCACTAGTCACTTCTGTTTGATATTGGAATTCCTTTTCTGCAGTTATAATGGGGCTCTTGTTTAGAGATAGTTTCACACTTCTTCATAGATATTAAAATCTCTAGAGGCTCGAGTTCGATCAGTTATATCTATAGGATATTATTTTTTTTAAAGAATCCGAATTCGAGTACATTGTTAATGAATTGAATCTTTTGAACAAATATTATCTTATCTGTGAAACTCGGAGGGGGGCATAATCTCGACCGCAGATACTGCATGCATGGAAATATTGACCCATTATGTGGATACGAATTGCAGACAATGACACAACATTAACATATACCTCACAAGCACCCAAGCCATGGGCCTATATCCACCACTTGAGACCAGGGCTCTTCATTTGCATAATTGATTGTACAACAAGATACATGTTTTCATGAACTACGGCTAGTTTTAAATACAAATTCTCATCTATGTCATGTATCTTATAAGACAATGCTCGACATAATCAAAACAAAAAATTAGTTATTACAAGAGAACATTTGATTGGATAAACACGAATTTAGTAATTCTTATAAAAAGTTGAAATATTTGAAAAGAATCAAATTTTGTCTCGAGATAAACAATGAGAGCTAAAGTGAATCCCCTTAACTCATCTTGAAGGTGAATTGTTAGAGTCGATACATAAAAATGACGGTTTACTCCAACATCGGATTCAAGATTCGAACATTTATGATAATAGTTTAGGTTAGAATAAAAACATAGGAGAATATATAAATAAAAATTATTTTCCCATCTTGCTATGCTATGCTATAACCCAATAAGTTTCCGGTTGACGAGGGAGATTTATAGCTATGGAGTTTTCTATTATTCGTCTGGTTTTGGTTGGATCTTTGTCTCATACCCAGTTGTAACAAACTTTGAGGAAAATCAACTTAAAAACTGGATTTGTTGTATATGGAAGGGACAATCATACCCAGTTGTGATTTTTAAGGAAATCATACCTATTGGGGTGTCGGATTTTTTTATATAATTTGAATTATTGTTTATTAAAATATAACATGAGTTGCCCAAAAAAACCACAAACTAAGTTATTTCGGTAGGGTAAAGAAATTGTTGTTATATTTTAATGTTCTAGATTTGAGTACTGGGAATGTCAGGGGGTGAATGTTTAATGTTAGATGATCGAGAGTTATTTTTGAACATATACTATCTTATACTTACTCCATATTAATAAATTAAATATAACATTTGTAATAGTTTCTATTTTAAAAATTAAATTACATAAATCATCACACTACTATTTTCTTACTTATATTTTAGTCATTAAAGTTTAATTTTTTTAAAATTTAAAATAATTAAACTTTTTAATTGTTCTTATATTTTTTTATTAATTTTTTAGACTGGCAAATGCGTTGATTGTCGTTGTCAGCAGCCGTTAGACTCAAAAATTTTAAATTAACCAATTTTGATCCTATGAGTATGGATTTAGCTTTTGTTTCATCCAATTTCATAAGTTTCGACTAAATTCTAAATTTCAAAACGCAATCAAATTCTAAATTTCATAACTCATTTTCGATCATAAATCTCATTTTTACCCTCAATGCTCTAGTGGTCGAATGAAAAATCCCGATGATGAAAAGGTGGACAACGGTAAGGAGAACGATATATCTCAAAATCAAGGTGGTATGATTGTCAAATGCTAAGATCAATGAAGGAGAAGACCACAAGTTTTGAAGAAATTTTAAAGCTTTTGTGGAGTTTCTACTAGAAACTAAATCTAAATACTTGTAAAAAAAGAAAAAGTGACTCAAATGACATTATTATTGATAAGGAGTGATGTCAAACGATGGTAGTTCAATCGATTAAAGTTTCCAGACGACATATTTTTTAATCTTGAGGTGTTTTTTTAATGAAACAGACATCATATTTGTGTTCAAAAGGACTCACGATTTTAGCACTTTGATGGGAAATTTAGGACTCATCGACCTCTAGCGTTGGTGCTGGTCAAAATGATGACCGATACAGTGATCAAAATCTAAGATTGATTCAGGCTAAGAGAGAGAGAAAGAGAAGGAAAAAAAAGAAGACTGAAAAAAGAAAAGAGGGGACTAAATTATCTAATGACGGAATAACCAAAATAGGAGTAATTCGAATGTTAAGTGATTAAATTAAAAAAATAAGCTTTGATGGTCAAAATAGGAATGAGAAGAAAGAAGAATGACGGAAAAAAGTAATTTACCCTAAATGAATATTGATTTAATGTACATCTACGATGTTTCCCTGCTTTGCCGTATTTGACGATTTTGAAGATTTCGTCTTTTGGTAGACATGGGTTGGTGGTGATCAGCCATTTTTGAACTTGTCTTTTGCTTCATAAACAAATAAATTGACCAAAGCCAACGAAACTATTGTATTTCAAAGAAATAATGACTGCCTATTTACCGTAAGATCTACATTTTGTAACAGGCTAACATATACTCTTACGCTTGCCGGTGAATCAGAGACATCCCCGGTGATCTGAGATGCCTATGGTGGCGGTGATGGGGTTCGAGGTTTCTTTGATAATGGGATTTCTCTTTCTTTACCTCATTTGGTTCACGTTGTTTAGTGACGGTGTCCTTGTCTTCTTTTGGCGAACCACTTTGGGTCGGAACCGTGTAAACGAAGGTGCCGATCATGGTGTCTTGGTAGTCCTGAAGTGGTTCCAATGTCTTGACCACATCACTCATTTTGGGTCTTTGCTTTGGGCGGTGGCTAAGGCATTGGTAAGCCAAAGCTGCGGCCTTTCGTGCACCGGTTTCCGAGTACTGGCCTTCGAGTCTAGGATCCATTATTCGGTCAAGTTTCCTGGGATCATTCAACATTGGCCTTGCCCATTCCACTAAGTTCTTTTCTCTTGGACACCGGCTCTTGTCTACGGATCTTCTCCCTGTTAAAAGCTCCAAAAGTACCACTCCGTAGCTGTACACATCGCTCATTGCCGTCAAGTGACCTGAAACAACACCCCCAACCATTGATTTGGCATTGTAATCTATGATAATCAAAATGAATGAATCTTATGCAAATGTTTGTACCTGTCATGACATATTCAGGAGCAGCATAGCCTTGTGTCCCCATGACCCTGGTGGAAACATGCGTGTCATCCCCTTCCGGACCATCTTTTGCCAGACCGAAATCGGAAAGTTTGGCATTGTAATCCTGGCACAAAAGAAAGAAAGAAAAAACATGTTTCAGAACTTAATTAACATTAGTAAAAGTGAAGAAAATCCTGGGAGAAAACACATGTCTTTTTTACTTACAGAGTCTAACAATATGTTTGATGCTTTGAAATCTCGGTAAATGACTGGCTTTTCTGCTTCATGGAGATAAGCCAGACCCTTGGCAGCTCCGAGAGCAATTTTCATCCTTGTCGTCCATGGAAGAGAAACCGAATACCCTGCAAGCAAGTAGATTGATTTTAATTTCTAACTTTCGTTTTTGGTCTAAACACTGAATGGTAATTTGAAGAGAAAAACATACTTCTAAACAGCTGATTCTCCAAGCTGCCTCTAGGCATATATTCATACACCAGCAGCCTATGTTCTTCTTCGCAGCAATATCCGATCAACTTCACAAGATGCGGATGCCTCAATTGTGCAAGAAACACCACTTCCGTCTGTTCCACAAAACACAAGCATTTACCACCAAGCAACAACAAAAACGATATCCAAGTGTAAGCAAATATTTCGATTCAAAAACACTCACCAGCCATTCTCTATGTCCTTGCAGACCTTCTAAATCCAGTAATTTAACAGCAACAGGCTGAGGTTTCAACCCAGGCCTAAGCTTATCATCAATGAACCCTTTATGAACAGGTCCAAACCCACCTTCACCAAGAAAGTTACACGACGAAAAGCTTTGGGTTATCAACTTTAGCTCCCCAAGCGTGAAAATATGAAGATTTGAACCGGCGAGCGAGGTAGACAAATCTTCAGAAAGCATTGAACTGGGATAACTCAAGTCCAACATGGCAAGCCTGTTAAATGAACCTTGTTTTGAAACTTCCTTCTTAGGCTTGTCTTCTGGTTTCACAACACCCTTGGAACAGGTGGGGATGATGGACCTCCATGTGATTTTCATCACAGCCATCTTCTTCTTCTTAATCTAGTGCTGTAAACTCCTGCAAACTCAGCTCTTCAGGCTCGATATATATATATATGATAAAAAAGGTACAGCCGACAGGTTTCAGGCAGTGATTTGATAGAAGCAGACAATTAGGTTGGAAAAAATATTAGAGAAAGGTGAAGAATATGCGATGGTTTGGAAGGACTTTAATAAGAACCGGAAAATATATTCAAACGCCAAATCACCTACTGCAAAAAACTCCTAGACGCGGAGAAACCGGTTTTACAACTTTCTTTTCTTGTCTTTTCTGTGTACCATTCCGCCTTGATTTTTCTACGTATAAATATATGGAAGAATTCTTCTACAAATTAAGATAATACAATATTAAAAAAATATAATCCTGAAAAAAAAAACACAAATGGGTCCCCGACTGTAGGGCATTATTTTATTAAACTCCTTAACTATTAAAAGTTATAAAATGGTCACTCGGTTATTCATTATGTTTCAAACCCGTGTTTTTTCCGTTAAAAGTTGGCAGTTGTCTAAGTGGGACGTTAACTTGATGATCGAGATATGATAGTCGTTTGAGATTTTGGGATCAAATTTTATCATACCACAGTAACATGTTAATGTTTAGCTCAGAATGTCGTCAATTTTTTTAACAGAAAATGACGAATTTGTAACACAATGAATAGTCAGGTGACCATTTTATAACTTTTAATAGTTGGGTGACTCAATAAAACAATACTCTATAGTCGGAGGACTATTTTGTAACTTTTAATAATCGAGAGACAAAATAAAGCCGGTGACCATTTGTGTACTTCACCCTTTAGTTTATTTATCTCTAAATTTTACTATTCTTTAAAATGTTTATTCTTATCATTATATTAATTTATTCTCATAAAATAAAATAAAAATAATCATATCCTTTGAAAACCATATGGTAGACAAGTTGACCTATTAAAAGTGGTAAGTGGAATCAGTTCATTTGAAACCCAGAGGCTGGTTAAAGCAGTAAATTTGATTTACTTTTACACCTATGTTAAAAATCATACTATTTAATTAAAAGATACCAAACTGATATACTACTGCTTACATTTTTTAATTTAAAAATTAATTAGTAAGCCAATAAAATATATATTATATTTAAAAATTACAAATTACTTGCTCTTTATAAATATTTAAAAGAAATTATTAAATCAATACAATCTACATATCAAATCAAGTATATCAATAATTAAAAAATCTTATTGATCGCCTATCAAATTTATTTAACATCAGTACATAATTTAAGGGGGAAAAACGTTGGTTAAAGGGAAATGACGCGGCTGCCCCAACTCCGTGTGTGGAGGCCTTGACTTTGTTTGTTTTTCATATATTGAAATTAAAAAAGGGGTAAATTACACCTTTCTCAGCTGAATTTTACTATCTCTCTTATTTTTCTCACCCAACTTTAAATTTACTCGCTGAACTGTACAGGTTGAATCATTTTGCTCACTATGTCGTTATATAGTTAACGACATTATGACATGACAAAAGTATCAGAATGACGTCGTTTGGAAAAACTCAAATATACACCAAAATGACGTCGTTTTGAATCCTATGTTGAAAGTACGGTGAGTAAAATAGGAGATAGGGTAAAGTTCAGTGAGGAATTGTGTAATTTACCCTTTTTCCATCTCTTTTTCATTTTCTCCCCGCCAGCCACCACGTCATTTTTATTCCAGCCACCATCAACCGCCGTTGAGGGTGGTTGTTGGGTCTCTAATTTCATGGGTCGGTTTGTCTCGACCCCCTGAGTCCAAATTTAGTAGTTGTTTCACCAAAAAATGTCCCAAAATCTATGAAAATGGACTGAAGTGTTTCGACTTCCTCACTTTCAATCTCGAATTCATGGACTTCGGAGCAAGCTCCAAAAAATAGAGGACGGATTTGGACTCAAGTGCCGAGGCGAAGCAACCCATGAAATCTGGGACCGAACGACCACCATCTACGGCGGTCGAAGGTAGCATCCGACCACCTTATATTTTTCTTCAATATTTTTAAGTTTTATATTAAAAAATACCACACCATCCGGATGTTAGAGAGAAAACGATAAGTGAACAAAATGATTCAATCTATAAGTTCGGTGAGCAAATTAAAAGTTGAATGAAAAAAAGTAAGAGAGAGTATAATTCAATGAAAAACGGTGTACTTTATCCTTAAAAGACAAACTCGTTTATAATTTGATTCCAGATAACAAATATCACATAATTCCAAAAGTGAAATTTAAAAGGCGAAAATATTAATTAATTCTGAAAGTAAAATTCAAACACATGGTATTAATTTACTGAAGGTAAAAATCATGAGGTTCATTTGTAAAATATATACATTTTTAATATTTATCATGCTAACCATACCACTTATTTTACACTCAACCCTACCAATCAAGATGATTTCTTCAAATTTAAGATACGGAATTTTTTATAAACTTCAAAAACAATATTATACATGTTACATCTTCTAGAAGATTACTTCAATATATATATATATATATATATATATATATATATATATATATATTGATCAAAATACAAATATAGTTATCATGCTGACCCCATGACTTTAATATTGCATTGTCATTGTTAAAGATAACTGACATAATGAGAGTACTTCGTCTGCACGATAATTCAAACTACCGACGGATCATCACAGTCAGGGATGGATCGATGGACCGACTAAAATAATCGACTCTTAAAAATTTAAAATTATTATATATTTCATTTTTATATTTTTTATTCAAAATCAATTTTCGTTAATTCTAGAGAGTCTGCGTATTTATCCCTTCCGTTTGGAGTTGACCTCAGATTTAAAATGTAAACGTGGTTCCAGAAGCTGGTAGGTTAGGGGTCAGCTTATTATCTCTTCACTGTCAACTCTGCTTAATCATGTATTCACAATCTTTTCATTTTTCTAAAAAAATGTTTTTACAAATATGATTTTATAATTATTAGTGATTTACGTGGTCGAATCTTGGGCAGGTTGCAATGAAAAAAGCTTAATATTTAATATATTTTACAAAAGGATAAATTGCACAGTTACTATATAAATTATTAGTTTTGATATGCTTTAGTACCTAAATATTTATTTTTTTTCAAAACCATACTTAAAGTTTAATTTTTGTTTCATTTTAGTACACCGTTCAAAATTTAACGTTTAAGTACTAAAAAGACGAAAACGGATAGTTTTGGTACTAAAACAGACCAAAACTCACAATATTTAAACGAAACAAAAACTAAACGTTAGGTATGGTTTTGAAAAAATAAAAGTTTATGTACTAAAATAGACCACAACTGATAGTATTAAAATGAAACAAAAAATAAATGTTAGGTCTGGTTTTAAAAAATTGAAAGTTTAAGTGTTAAAACATATCAGAATTGATAATTTAGGTACTAAATGTATAATTTATTCAAAAAATGGGCGGACGGATTCTTCTGTCTTTGTCCATCTATAGACGAGAGGAGGGGCAACTTTGTCAACAATGGGGTTGGTGTGTGATTTTCGAGAAGGATTCGTCGTGTGTTATCTTAAGAAAGTCAATGGGCAATATTGTCTTTTACTGTGGGAGCATTTTTCGAAGATAAAACTAGTTTTTACTATGATTATAGTTGTGAAATTGTGGTCACTGCGCGGTTAATTTTACTTTAAGTTACAGTTACTTTGAATTCAAGAAGCTGAGGTGAACAAATTGATCAAAATGCAACTACCTCACCTCCTTTCTTTGTAATTTCACCCAACAATCAAAAACCTTTTTTGACGGAAAAAGAAGAAGCAAAGCTGTTGATACTAAACAACATTTGATTTGTCATAGTTTACGGCTTAAACATTTAGATTAGGGTATGGTACAAGTTATGTATGGATGGCACTATCTCATGGTTGAATAAGTGTATAAATTTCGAGAATACAATACTAGCAATCAGGGCCGGCCACATGGGCGACGGCCCAAGACAGCATGTTGGGGAGGGCAGTTTTCTAAGGCTTAATTTCTATGTTACACGGTTTTACTCGCCTAAACCAGTTGAAGAAGTCTCTGGTTGATCAGATTGGGAATTGAATGATTTACCATTTTTCTTCATTAATTCTGTACATATTTGAGTACCAGGTTGTATTTCACTTTCATCGGTAGTTTCCTACTCCATTGTCAACCAGGGTAGTTTTCTCATTTGGTTCTTAACTTAGAAGGTGTGCATTGGGGAGTTGTTAATGGTAAAGAACTCTTTGAACACATCTGATACATATGGCTATATAACGTAAGAAAATCTTATTCTTTGAGTGTTTCAGCTTCAAGCTTTCAATGAAAACGAACTAAAAATCACATCCTTCCCATTCTTTTTCATAAGATTACCCAATCAATGTACAAATATATCAATGTACTTGTTGGATTATCGTTCCTACATTAAGCTTAGTGCATTCGAGATTTTTAATTATTGTTATGTATTCCTAAATCATGATTTAGTTGTTGATTAATATATTTGTATTTGTTATGATTAATGATGTGTAACATGTGTTTGATATAAAATCAGTACCTTGTTCTCGATTGGCACCTTGACTTGCACTTTGATCTTGAGATTCCAACGACTGATCTTGCTTTAAGAACTTGATTGAACAAAGTAGTTATCCGTTTAAATCATAAATCTAACATTAAACACTACAGAACCATATTTACCTTTGATCTAGGTTTTTTTCTACCGAAAACTTGTCGGAAACTTATTACCTGTGCACAATTTCCCTTCAATTCTTTCCATTTACTACTTTCGCATTTAGCATCTCTTATTCTTAGATTACTCGGTTAAACTTATCTAATAGGGGAAGGATTTATGCTTGGATTCGAACTTTGAATTTATTAGATGCCATTTTTTGAAGATGATTGCATGAACCATTTGAGTTTTGAGTTCACTTAGGAATGCTTATTCTTTCTCTATAGTGTGTGAATTTGGTGGTTGGCATGAACTAATCCTATGATAAACCTATCCTCGAAATGTAGTATCGAATCGACCCGGGATTTGTATTTAGCATCTGGAAACTATTTTCCTATTCTTCGACTTCCTCGTTAAACTTTTCCGGTAGATAATGACTTATGTTAAGATTCGAACTTTGAATTTGCCAACTACCACATTTAAAAAGTATCTGCATGAGCGAATTGAGCTAAGTTTTGAGTTCAGGAATGCATCGTTCTTTCTCTTCTAAACCTTTGATGTTATGTAAATTTGGTTACAACTTGTAGGTGGTTGGCATGAAGAGATCATATCCATTTTCTCTAGACAATGTTCCAGGTCCCCTATCGTAAAATAATAGAGATTTTTGCTTCAAAAAATGCACGAAGACATCGTTTTAGGTGATATTTGTAGCCTTGTAGGTTTTGGTTTGTATTAGTATTGATATTGTTTGACTATAATTTCTATTACATTTTTGTTTTAAAAAAATTATTTATGTTTTGTCTATTATACGATACAAGTATAGGAGTATAAAATTGTTATCTCGCCCAGGGCATTAAAACTCATTGGATCGGCCCTGCTAGCAATGTTGTACGCATCGAACGATCTTAGTGGTAAAAGAATTGTTATTATTTCTTAAGGTTTCGAGTTCGAGCATCAATAATATCATGAGCGTGAAAGTTCATTGTCAGATGGTTGAGAGTTATCTTTAAATATATACTATCATGTACTTGCCTCATATATCTAATAATTTATCCCCAAAGGAAACATTGTCATCCAAGGGTAAACTTGCCAACTTCATGTCCCGTGATACTATTGTTGTAACACGGGAGGCTTCAATAGGCATCCCGGCCTTGAAAGGGCAAGATGCTAAAGAATGCACGGTGACACCATCAGGGGTACAACCAACTGATGACATTTTATTGAAAATGCCAATTGCTTCAAGCATTTTCCCTTTCATACAATGCCCGATAATGAGAATAGTAAACGTCACTATATCGGGATAGCATTTCTTCTCTTCCATCTCCACAACTATCAGATTGGCCTCATCCAAATTTCCAAACTTGCACAGCCCATCAATCACAGGGTTGAAGATAAACGGTTTCGGAGCAATATTTGTACATTTCAACTCCCTCAAAAGTTCACGAGCCTCGTGTTCTGTAGTCTATTTTTCTTGCATAGTGCATTGATGGTAATGGCAAAAGTGTAGACATTTGGAGGTATATTTCTCGCTTTCATTGCATTCCAAAGCTGCAAACTCTGGTACACGTCTCCATTGCGACAGTAACCATCAATCAAGGAAGTGAAGGTCACAACATCAGCAACGCAGCCAAAAGAAGGCATCTTCTCGTACATGGACTTAGCAGAAAGCATATCTCCAACCTTGCCAAAGCCATTAATCAAAACATTAAAAGTAACGGCAGTAGGCATAGTTCCTGAACTAATCATCTCATTAAAAAGAGCAGAAACCTCCCCCATCTTACCCAACTTGCAATAACCAGATATGACTGATGTATACGTCACAACATCGGGTGCACAAACATCGGGTGACCTCTCCCTACCTCGTTTGCCCTACATAACCCACCGATAATGGTATTATAGGTAAGGATATCAGGAGAACAATCAAAACCCCTCATATCGTAAAAAAAACTCGAGCTTGATCCACCTGCCCAGCTTTGCAAAGGCCTTGAATTAGAATATTAAAGGTCCAATTATCCGAGTAAAAGTTCGATCCTAGATTCTCTTTATATAAGTTTACTGCTGCTGCTAGTTTATTTTGCTTAATCATCATATTCAACAAATTATTTACAGAAAAAACACTGATTCCTACTTCATCAGACTGAATCTCAGCAAACAACTTCTTTGCCATTCCAAAGTTGCCTGCCTTCCCAAAAGCCGAAATCATAAATCCTACCACAGAACTATCAGGCAAATGCCCATCAGTCCTCATATAATCAAAAACTAATTTAGCCGAATGATGTAGACCTATATTAGAAAATGACCTCAAAAGTAAATTATAAGTCCAAAAAGAATGAGTAATATTAAAATTAGCCCTGCTGAACTCGAAAAACTTCAACCCAAATGCCGGATGGTTAATCTATTTAACAACTTGAAACTCAATAGAAGGTATCAAATTCTTGCTCAAATAACCCACAGATGAATCATTCAAAGGCTGTGAATAAAAAAACAGAGTGCAAACAACCTTAACAAACCAAGCGTCGTGCTGTTGAACTACCCTTACATCTTGCGGGTGAGATCCTCCGTGAAACTGAACGTGGTTATGAGGAATGAAGTGCTTGGAGGCGGGTCGAACCCTTGAGGCACGGGTTGTGAATGAAAATAGGGTCATATGTAACCCCACACCATACCTAGGCCTAACTCGGTACTCAAAATTATCTTCTTGGAAATGACCATTTTTTTTACAGATCACCCCAGATTCAAAGTTGGGTTTTGGATTGAACTCTCTACCCTTCATGAGATGGTGAGAAATCCAAATACGGTACCATTACAAAACGATCCAAAGCTCGAACCAAATGATGATTATGTAACCATAAAAAGCCAAAACCACCAGGTAAATTTCAAGCATTGAACAACCAAAGTAGACCATTGAAAAGATAACTGAGTATTTGAACGATTGACATTGAAAGGAATCTGACACAAGAAAGAAAAAGATCTAACTTGTCTGATGTAAAAATGGGGTCTTTGGGGTTTTCGGCGTCGCTTGTGAGGACGCTCACTTCTTCGTCTTAAATAGGCTAACTATCGTTTAGCGAAACAGAACAAACAGTTCAAAGGCTTGGGCTTCGTGTCCAGAACTTTGGACCCATTGAAGCTCAATTGATCCTATGTCAACAGTTTGGGTTTGGACAATAGCCATTGGGCTGTAATATTGGATTTAGGATTTACTTTTAATTTTCTCCTTAATCTCGAAATTTGAAGGCAACCATCAATCGTACATAAAAATAAAGGTGAATTATGTGCTTAGTACTTAAATTATAAGTTTTTATCCGTTTTACTATATAAATTTTTAATTTTTCCAAAATAGTATCTAAAGTTTAATTTTTATTTCATTTTAGTACTCTATTCAAAATTTAAAGTTAAAAAAATTGAAAGTTTAGGTACTAAATGTGTTAAGTTTTTAACATTAAGATACTAAAATGAAACAAAATTGATAGTTTACTTACTGAATATGTTAAATTGTTAACAATGAGGTACTAAAATGAAACAAAAACTAAACATTAGTTATGATTTTGAAAATTTTGAAACTTTAGGTACTGAAAAGGACAAAAATTGATAGTTTAGATACTAAATATGTAATTTACCCTAAAAGTAAAATAAAATATATATAGTTTATTAAATTATATTTAATTTTCTGATTAGTTATTTTTAAAGAAAATTATAAAATATCACTAAATAGTTATAATAAACGTAAAAGTTTAATAATTTAATGATTTGATAAAATCTGTTCATGGTTATAATGATCTGATATCACACCATCCGCACTTGTTTCACAAAGAAGTTCTTCTAGTAGAGATGAGAGTTCCTTTACGATGTCAACATTTAAGCCGAACAAGTTGGTAGTTGAATGTCTTCCTCTTGAACTTGGAGGTATATCGACATTGAAATCAAAGAAGCTCGCAGTTAAATGTCTCTCCTTGAAACTTGAAGGTATCGGGTCAAATGAATACTGCACAGATTGTTATATCGAGAGCATCTTTATGTTCAGGTCAAAACAATTGTTTTGCAATATTTTGTTAAAATACAATAATTTCAATTATTACAGTGTTGTTTTGTTGGCCAAAATGTTATTAATACATGATTTTCTCTGTTTGGGGCCAATTACTTAAAAAATTTATTATTATTTCATAATAATTTAATAAATTTATTTTAAAATATTCGAATTCATAATTTATATTATATAATAATTATAAAATATGGTTAAAAGACGTGAAAGTCCTTATTAGACAAAACTCTTCCGTGATCAACAGCAAAACCTTTTTTCTTTTCTTTTCTTTTCTTGAATTATGTGGTCACTGATTCAACTGACAAGAATACGTTATGATCAGTACCGACACAGAGTTCAACATCATGTGATCAAACTCAATCATGTCCGATCACGTCATGTGGAAGTCGACAAAAAATCCAGAACAGACGCGAATCATCGTCGTACTCCCGTCTACAACGTAGTCCCGCTCCCTTTATTTTCTTTCTTAATCCTTACGAATACGGAAATATTTTTTATCCATAATTTCGGATAATCTTTTTATTCTTTCTATCTACAATTTCCAACAATGGAAAAGAAATTCCGTTTATGATTTTCGTTCATATAAGGCTCTGGTATTAATTTATTAAGGTTTTTAGTGTATGATTTACATGTAAAATAGTTAGAAATTTTAAAGCAAGTTATTGTTTATTATTTTATTTTTTTATTCTCTCTATGTGGTATCAACAATGGCAGAAATATCGCATTCTCATGTGCACTTCATCATATATTATTATTAATACCCACTGCTTCTAAGCTCCCTAGCTTTTCTCTGCTCGTTTCATTTACTCGATACCATGCCGCAAATTTTTGGAAGGAATAATGATAATTCTAGTTTAATCAGACGCTCGGGGTTTCTTCACGGGATGCAGTGTGTCTCCGTCTATGGTTCGCAGGAGGAGATGAGCGAGGACAGGAGGAGGTTGTCTTCGACGGTGGAGATAGACGATGATGATTTGGGGTCTTGCAGTTCGTCGTCGATAGGGAGGAACAGTGATGATCACGGTGAATCACAATCGGATGATGATGACCCACCGGAGGCGGAAGTGCAAAGCCAGACGAAAGGACCTTTGGACACCAGGGATGCTCTCGAGGAGGTTTTGCCCATGAGGTAAATCAATTTATTAATGTAAAAAAAAACTTAAAATTTTGGATTCTGTTATCCTTTATGGGTTTTGATCTAATCTGGGTTATTTGTTGAACTTTGTAAATAAATCTAGAGGCATAGCTAGCTAGGGTTATGTTTGAGAATTTCTCCTTTTGTATAGTAAATACTGGTTTATATGCATCTAGTTTTTAACTGCTTAGAATGTACTATAAAGTGAAATTTAATGAGTTTCTATGTCTTCAAGAGAGTTGAACTGCCTTTAGCTTTAACATATATCCCTGAATAAATTTTCTTAATGGAAGTTCGGAGGCATTTTAAGCATACTAGCGAGATTTGCCTTTGGTAATTGTTAATACCGAATAATTAATTACTGGTTTGCACTTATTTACTTGGTTAAATGATAATCTTCTGATGCACTTGGAAATTGTAATAGCTGACCACCCATCACTCCTTGAAGCTGCACTCTTTGATCATTTATGTCACAAAAACTTTTCGAAGGAGTTTGCTTTCATTGTTGCAATATTTACCAGCTATAAACAAAAGGCCATGCGATGCTTGGACTTGGACGTGAGTGTCGAGTTTGGGTATGCTCTCGACATAAGTATATTTCAGGTTTTTCATATATTTGGATACTCATATCTCTTTACCTATATGTGTGGACCAGAGTTTGAAGAGTGAGTCTGTACCTCACCCTTTATATAGAATAAAAAGTATAGATATATATTTACAACCAATTGCTTTATTGGACCAGAGTTTAAATCGTGATATTGTGAATAGAGCAAATGAGTTTGAGAAAATCGTCCCATAATATATCTATGTAATATTCGATATAGATTAGTTAGTCAACAGATTAGATACCGATCGTGCAATAAAAAATACGAATAGTTTCGAGCCACGATATGTGATTGATGATATGTCCATGCATACTTTCACGTGGGGACGATGAAAGTAAGACTTTCTCACATAACAACTGCACTCTTTTGTTTTTGAAAACTACAATATTGGAGGAAACAATAATTTTCATTGAATCAACCCTTGTCTTCTTAAATGAAACCGAGGTGTATCCATCAAAGATGATATATTGATGGGAACAGTACTAACCCTGCACACTATAGACAATAACACAACAACATAGGCTGTTATTAGGGTTTAATCAGCAACTAAGATCACTGTTTACAGGGTGGAGATTTGAGAAGAGTAAGAAATTGGCGGTCCATTGGCTCCAGCGGCTTGAAGTTGGGGCAATAGAAGACATCCTAGGCAGCTAATAATTAGAGTCTGCTCCTCAGTTTGGTTATCTCAAATATGTGAAGCATGCAAATTCCGTGTCTTGCAATGCATCTAGGTTTCATCCGAAGGGTAAAATGGCGTCTCCCAAGCTTTTCCACGATAGAAAATGTGAAATATTCTTCGCCTAGGGCACTGGGCAGCCTACCATTAAAACATATGAGCTTGGGGATCGACCTGAAACCTTAAAGATTCTAGGCATCATCCCTGGTCAACTCTGTCAATGCCTCGTTCACTCTAAGATATTATCATCGAACCCGAATCGCAAGACATTTTCAATGTGGAAACTAACTTGAAAACTTATATCTTGTTGATGGGATCAAATGGATTGTGAAGGTTGTAGTCGATTTATCTATTTTGATTTGAATTAAGAATCACAGTTGGTGATAGATCGATCGTTGGTCAGTATTAAAGTAATTATCTCCCTAAGGAAGTAAATAGAGATTAATAAGGGTGAGAGAGTTTCATCTAAATTGTATCCTTTCTTTGGATCTTGATTGAGACATTTTATAGTGGTCATTGGAATTGGTATTAGGCTTGGATGGATATAGTCCTCGAGATAAATTTGGTTTTGATAGATTACATATGTT